GTGGCGTTGTTGAAAGCTGGCAAATTTGAAGGACCTGATAAGAAAAAAAAAAAAAAAAAAGAATTGAACTCCTTACATGTTTACCAGTATTTTCTTCATCCGTGTTGGCAGATTGGGCAGTTTTTGATTGGTTTTGAGTTGTACTACGTGGGATAAAATGGCCTTGGACAGGTGGAATTTTGATATTTCTGTTGTACCCTTTTATTTCTTTAAGGCAAATGACAGACATGGGAAATAGTTTACAACGTAGCCTTCTTTAGAGAAGAACACTTAATTTGCTTTATTATGACATATTGAAAAATTGTGATGAGCCACAATATTGTTGTCGCTATGAATGAATTTGTATGGTTTATAATTGGTAAGATTTGTGTGTTGACTATCTAATTTTGTGTAGATTTTGAACAATTGCTGGAAAACAAACCAATCTGGCAACACTGTTCTTCATCTGAACATTTATAAATGGCAGTGTGTGTGTCTGTGTGTGTGAGTGTGTGTGTGTTAGAGTGTGTGTGTGACAGTGTGTGTGTTAGAGCGTGTGTGTTAGAGCGTGTGTGTTACAGTGTGTGTGACAGTGTGTGTGTGACAGTGAGTGTGTGTGTCTGTGTGTGTGTGTGTGTGTGTGTGTGTGTGTGTGTGAGAGTGTGTGTGTGTGTGTGTGTGTGTGTGTGTGTGTGTGTGTTTCAGGACGCAGCGAATACGTCGTCAGCTATGAGACGGTGATTCAGGCTGAAGGTGAGTCTCGCGTCTCTGGATGACACTGCTGTCACAGTGTGTTCTGCTGACTGACTGTGATGTCATTTCCTGTCCCACAGTGCACTACGCGCGTCCCGTCATCATCCTCGGGCCGAGCAAGGACCGCGTCAATGACGATCTGCTCTCCGAGTTCCCCGACAAGTTCGGCTCCTGCGTCCCACGTAACAACCTGGGCTACTTCTTAACTTAGTTTTATTTTTGTGTTTTCTTTTTAATTTTAGTTACATTTTTTGTCATTTTTAACAGATTTGGATTTTTTTTATTTTAAATGTCTATATAATTTTTATTCCTTTTTATTTGTAGTCATTTTAGTACATCCAGTTAAACTAAATTAGTATAATTTCTGTAGGTCTTTAATAGTCTTAAGATTCACCCTTCCTCAAATAAAAGCCTAAAAAGGTCTTAGATCAGAGCAGAACGTCTTAAACGAATACAGTCATTAAATGCTATTACATTATTAATTTCAGAGTTTATACAATCTTTTAAGGGAGAAATTCAAGCACCTTTCAATGACTTTCAAGCTTTCGCACAACTATTTCCAGCACTTTAAAGCTCTAAAAATGTAAAGTATTTTTAAAGGGATGACCAAAATATACTTTGTTGTAAACAAACGCTTCTGTAAAATAATAATTAAAAGAACCCATCAAATTACCATTATAACCAGTAGATGGCAGCAGAGGAGCACTTATTGGCTTATCAGTCATCTATTTCTACTTTTTGTTTTATATTTTGAAATGATAAAATCACTATTATAAAATATCAAATCATCAAGAAATCAAATTGTTGAACTTTTGCACTTTTTTATGTAAGAAGTAAGAAAAGTCACAAAGTGCCATGAAAAACAAACTTTTCAATTTGCGTCTGAATCACACAAAGTGTTCCTCTTATAATCACTGAAGTTATTGGTCAGTTACATGTAATAGCCTGCTATAGAAGAATAATGGTACATTTAATAAGAGTAGAGTAGCCTATATTAATTTTCTATATAAAAATGTTGCACATGTTACTGTTGTTAATAAAAGTAGCCTACATTTTGAATGCTTCCCAACTCAAGCTCAGTGCTTTACTCTCAAATGTGTATTACCAAGAAATAAAGTGTAATATTATTAGTAACTGCACTTATTAATGCAAATCTATAGTAATTTTATGATTTAAGTTAAATTTATTTTTAATACCCCCACACAACACCACCATCTGTAGAACTCAGATGCCGCTGCTCTCAAAGGTTAGTCTGGAGCCCTGCCCACAGATGATGACCATAAACCCATGAATGGCAGGCGAGTGTTTGTTCTGATTGTTTTCTGCACACAAGACTCGCTGAAGAGGCTTCCTGTGTTTGACAGACACGACGCGGCCCAAGCGCGAGTACGAGGTGGACAGCCGCGACTATCACTTCGTGCCGTCACGTGAACAGATGGAGAAAGACATTCAGAGTCACCGGTTCATCGAGGCCGGACAGTACAACAACCACCTGTACGGCACCAGCGTCCAGAGCGTCAGACAGGTGGCAGAACAGCAGGGGAAGCACTGCATCCTGGATGTTTCAGCGAATGCAGTGAGGAGGTTACAGGCCGCCCAACTTCACCCCATCGCCATCTTTATACGACCCTCATCCCTGCAGAACATACTGTGAGTCTGTGAGTGTGTGTGTGTGTGTGAGAGAGATGATGAGTTACTGATGTGTGTGTGTGAGAGATGATGAGTCACTGATGTGTGAGTGTGAGTGAGTGGGTGTGTGTTTGATTGA